CAACCTGGGCATGTGCCATGACTGGGAATCAAACCAGCAACCTCTTGGTGCATGGGTCAGTGCTCAACCACTGAGCCACACCAGCTGGGTCTGTTTGCCTTTTCTATGCAACATTATGCTCTCTTTTCCTACTTTAATTCTTTAGTAGAAAAAGATACAGATTCTCTATGTCTTCCCTAGCTTAGTGTTTTTGAAACATGAACCCAAATAACATTTAAAAAAAGAGGTTATTGAACATTCAAAGAAGAACTAATACTCATTCTCCTCAAACTATTTCAAAAAATTCAAGAAGAAGGAAGACTTCCAAACTCGTTTTATGAAGCCAGCATAATTCTAATTCCAAAACCAGAAAAAGACACTACAAAGAAAGAAAACTACAGGCCAATATCCCTGATGAACATAGATGCCAAAATCCTGAACAAAATACTAGCAAATCGGCTCCAGGATTACACCAAAAGAATTATCCACCATGACCAAGTGGGATTCATCCCAGGGATGGAAGGCTGGTACAATATTTGCAAATCAATAAATGTGATACACCACATAAATAAAATTAAGAATAAAAATCACATGATCATATCAATAGATGCCGAAAAATCCTTCGACAAAATCCAGCATCCATTTCTGATAAAAACGCTCAGCAATGTGGGAATAGAGGGATCATATCTAGATATAATAAAGACCATATATGAAAGACCTACAGCCAACATCATACTCAATGGGCAAAAACTAAAAGCATTTCCCTTAAGAACAGGAACAAGGCAAGGATGCCCAGTTTCACCACTCTTATTTAACATAGTACTGGAAGTCTTAGCTACAGCAGTCAGACAGGAAGAAAAAATAAAAGGGATCCAAATTGGAAAGGAGGAAGTGAAACTGTCATTATTTGCAGATGACATGATACTATACGTAGAAAACCCCAAAGACTCCATCAAAAGTTTACTAGACTTAATAAATGAATTAGGCAAAGTAGCAGGATACAAAATTAATGTCAAGAAATCGATGGCATTCTTATACACCAATGATGAACTCACAGAAAGAGAAACTAAGAAAACAATACCATTTACCTTTGTGGCAAAAAATTAAGGTACCTAGGAATAAACTTAACCAAAGAAACAAAGGACCTATTCACAGAAAACTACAGGTCATTGAAAAAAGAAATAGAGGAAGATATAAAAAAGTGGAAGCACATACCCTGTTCATGGATTGGGAGAATTAACATCATTAAAATGTCCATATTACCCAAAGCAATCTATAGATTTAATGCAATCCCCATCAAAATACCAACGGCATACTTCACAGAATTAGAACAAGTACTTCAAAAGTTCATATGGAACCAAAAAAGACCCCGAACAGCCACAGCAATCTTGAAAAGGAAGAACAAAGTTAGAGGGATCACATTACCGGATTTCAGGTTATACTACAAAGCCACTGTAATCAAAACAGCCTGGTACTGGCACAAGAACAGGCATATAGATCAGTGGAACAGAACAGAGAACCCAGAAATGGACCCAAGGCAATATGCTCAATTAATATTTGACAAAGGTGGCAAGAGCATACAGTGGAGTAAGAACAGCCTCTTTAATAAATGGTGCTGGGAAAATTGGACAGCTACATGCAGAAAAATAAAACTAGAACATCGACTTACATCATGCACAAGAATAAACTCAAAATGGATAAAAGACTTAAATGTGACTCATGAATCCATAAAAATCCTAGAAGAAACCGTAGGCAACAAAATTTCAGACATCATACGCAGCAGAATTTTCACTGATACATCACTTAAGGCAATAGAAACAAAGGAGAAAATGAACACATGGGACTACATCAAACTAAAAAGCTTCTGCACAGTGAAAGATACAATCATCAAAACGGAAAGGAAACCCACTGTATGGGAGAGCATAATGGCCAATGACATATCAGATAAGGGGTTAATTTTCAATATATATAGAGTGCTCATACAACTCAACAAAAGGAAGACAAGGAACCCAATTAAAAAATGGGCAGAGGAACTAAATAGACACCTCTCCAAACAGGACATACAAATGGCTAAGAGACATATGAAGAAAAGCCATCATCATTAATCATCAGAGAGATGCAAATTAAAACAACAATGAGGATCACCTCACACCTGTCAGAATGGCCGCCATCAACAAATCATCAAACAACAAGTGTTGGCGAGGGTGTGGAGAAAAGGGGACTCTAGTACACTGCTGGTGGAAATGCAGACTGGTGCAGCCACTATGGAAAACAATATGATGTTACCTCAAAAAATTAAAAATTGAACTTCCATTTGACTCAGTGATTCCACTTCTAGGAATATACCCTAAGAAGCCTGAAACACCCATCAGAAAGAATCTATGTACCCCCATGTTCGTAGCAGCACTATTTACAATAGCTAAGATCTGGAAACAGCCCAAGTGTCCATCAGTAGACGAATGTATAAAAAAGCAGTGGTACATATACACAGTGGAGTACTACGCAGCTGTAAGAAAGAAAGATCTCTTATCCTTTGAGACGACATGGAGGGACCTGGAAAGTATCATCCTAAGTGAAACAAGCCAAACAGAGAAAGACAAGTATCATATGATCTCACTTATTTGTGGAATACGTATAATGAACATAATAGTCTGAGGAATGGGGTAGTCCCAGAGACGTGGAAGTGGGGTACAGACTGACAATCTCCAGAAGAGGGGGTTAACCACAGAACTTATATGCATGTATGCATGAACAGTGGACATGGACAACAAACTGGGGACAGGGTAGGGAGGGAGAGGGGGGAATCAGTGGGGGAAAAAGGAGAAACATCTGTAACAAAAATTAATTAATAAAAAATAAATAAAATAAATATAAAAACAGTTTTACCTTTGGGGGGAAAAGTGTACAACTCAAAAAAAAAAAAGAGGTTATTACTGCAGTAATAAGGGGAATAATTGGTTAACAAGAAGAATAAAACTAATCACAAAAATATTCTTAAAATACCGGAGGTAGGTTGCAACTTGATATGGCCATTCTCATGGCCTTTCTTCCAGATGCCATTATGGAATCTCTGCTAGTTCTGGTCTTCAGTCTCTGGTCTTTGCAACAGACCAAGACACTGGCAGCCTGAAGTTATCTGACTGGGCATCACTTCCAGGTGTGGTGTGATTCTCGGTTATTTTTAGGACTAGCTTCCTGTTCTCTTCTGGTGTTTTCTCTTTGTTGCCTCAGGCTGCACCATTCATCAGGTAGGTTCTTCAGGTTGTCCCATGTTCTTGGGCCCTGGAGCTTTTAGCTGAGGCTGCCTGTAAGCCACAGTTGGCCTCCAAAGAGTCTTCCCTGAGGCTTCATGTTATAAAACTGACCCAGCCATTGCTCACTTTCTCCTTTACAGGGAAGTTCTCCTTGGCCTTACACTTGAAATTGTATCTGATTCACGTCTTACTATTATCCATGGGACCTGGATAATGAGAACCGTCGACCTATTTTATTTTGCGAAACTTTTCATAGCATTTTTCATGTCAAAGGCACATTTCTAAGTGCTTTTAAAAATTAACTAATGTCATCCCAGTGAGAGGTTGTCAGCACTGTATTCAAGTCTAGGTGTTATAAGCCCAGAAGCAGGTTAACTCAGGAGATATTTTATGGAATGTGTTTATAATTAACTATTGTAAAATTAAAGACTAATTTTAAAGTCCAGGAAAGTCATTTTTAAAAGCCAAAGAGGTCAGTGGATTTGACATTACTCCATGACTCTGGGATGATCTATTGTATCGTTCTTCAGAGTAGACAAGAAATACCGACATTTGAATTTGAGTATCTGCATTTCCTTATGTGATTTAAGTTAGCTTTATTTTCTTTTCATTCAGCTTTATTAATGTTAAATTTTTTATTATCCCGTGTTTCCTCTTTTCCTTTGTGTTTAGAGCTTAAGAAAACCATTTTAAAACTCTTAAGAAATGTACCTTACTTTTCCAATCTGCTGGTCATTTTTTTGTCTCCTGTTCCTTGGAGGTATTTAAAATTTTTAAACATAGTAAGCATCGTTGTGTCATATTCTGACTGATAGGTAATCTCAACAACTGAAACACTTGTGGATGATTCTTACTTTTGGTGGCTTGTTTTCTTGTGTTTTTTTTAGGGTAAGCTCCCCTAACCCCATATTCTGTTTATTATCCTTGACAATTATTTGTTGAGATTATTTGAGGCCCAGGATGAAAGTGTCTTCTCCAGAGGGAAGTACCTGTGAGTACTCTCACTCTGAGACCACCCCACACCAAAATTGAAAGTTCTTAGGTTCCCAAGACCACTCAGGTGAGGGGACCCCAGGCTGCAAATTCAGTTTTTCAGAAACAGATGGTTTTTTCTTTCTCTTCCCTGTGTTCTGCTCAGTGGCCAAGGCCAACCTCCTAGCAGTCAAGGAACAGGGTGGGATTCCTTCTGATTCACCTTTATTCTGAGGAGGGAAACTCAGCTGACTATGTGACTTTATTTGGTGCTCCACTTTTCTTCTTCATTTTCCTAGATTTTGCACTGGCTGTTTCTTACTATTTCATGACTCTTTTGTTTTTAAGAAGATTTCTTTTTTTCCCCAGTCGTTTTAGTTGTCCTCAATAGGAGGAAGATTGGTCCACGTAACCCAAGCTACTGTTACTAGGAGTGGAAATCTTCCTTATGTGGTCTTTAACTGTCCTATGAGGTCCATGTACAGGTGGATGACTGCGGTGCATTAGAGGATGAGGGAGCTGGGGCAGGGAGAAGTGTAGTGATTGATTTCAGATCATACGAGAAAGTGGCAGAGCCTGAGACTCCTAAGTCTGAGTTCACCTTGCTGCCTTTGAGCCCTTTTTACTGGGTATGTTCTTAGAATTTTGAATGAAGCACACAAATGTTGAAGAAGTTTTAAAACACATATAATACCTTTAGAAAATCATTAGACTGATATAAATTATATTAGTGCAACTCTTTCCAGATATGGCATTTTAAATGGAAAATAATCATTGCTTTTTCTGTCTTTTCAGCTGAAGTGAGTAGTGAGTACAGTATGGATAAGGCGATGGTTGAATTTGCTATGATGGACCGGGAGCTAAATCATTATGTAAAGGCTGTTCAGTCTACAATAAATCATGTAAGTTTACACCACTCACCTGGTTATATTTGGTTACAACTCTGACTTAGAAATAAAAACACAAAATCAACATTCTTTTCTAACCTATAATGTTTCCTTAGTCTTATTATAGCAGCCATTAATTTCTTCTTAATCAGGAAGTTCATAGAATAGGAATCTTAAATCTTTTCCCAGTTAGGCCACCTGGGTTTCACTAGGATATGACATCTGTTACATTTTCCTGCATCTTTTGGTCTCAAACGTTTTAGTCTAAGCCTCCTTAGAATGTGAGAGGATTTTTATAAAATGCAAAAATTTCATAGACCTTGTTTTTATTTTTATATTTGCTTAAGCATACAGTGTAGACCAGGTTTAGTTACTCATTCTCCAGCTTTAACTAATATGCAGCTATTGCAAAATTCATAGAATCAGATAATGCGGAAGAGTTTCAGATCAAGTTTAAAAATAAAGAAGCTTGGCATTTTGGTTTTTCCAGAAGCCAAACTTATCTTTGTTGACTCCAGCTGTCACAGGAGCAACAGATAGGCAGTTGAGGTGGGAACATAGCAACCTCCTTTTCAGAGTACCGGGTTGAGTAAGAAATGAGCAATGTGATTGCTGTAATGTTTCTGAGAAGTCTTTTGTCCTCTGAACAGTGGAAACTCCCCTTTGAACTCATTTCATATACCTGTGTAATAGGATGTCTTGTACTTCTGGTTTCTTTATTTGCCTTTTCTAACTTATATCTTTGGGAAAATTCCCAAAATCAAATATTTTACAAGATTGGCTACTGGTCAGTGGAAGATAAATTTTTAAATATGGTTTAATACTTAAGCCATGCTTAAATGAGTATTACATAGTTATATGAAGTTATACAATTTTTAAAAATTATTTTCTGGTTTAAATTTTTTTCTGTTGTATTTGATTAGTATTTATTAAGTGTATTATTTGTGATTAACTTAAGAATAGCTGCTTGTATCCAACTAATAAACTCATTCAGCTTATAAAATTCTGATGTTTCTAAGCATGGTGGGTATTAGGCCTGGTCCTGTGAATATTTCTTCCATAGGAAAATATGAAAATGACATCCTGTTAGGGCATTTGAAACTGGATAACAAAGCACAGACCAGAGGTTTTCAGTTCCAGCTGACCACTAGAGCCAGCCAGAGAGATTCTGATTTCATTGGTTTGGAGCAGGATTGGGGGACAGTATTTTTAAAAGCTCATTCTAATATGTATCCAGAGTTGAAAACCACTGATCTAAAAGAACAAGGCTGACTTTATAGGATAAAGTGTGTTTGCCACCAAAGATCAGAGCCTGATTACACAGATGAATCCTCCTTTGACCCTGATATTCTATGGAGGTCATTTGATAGGTTTTTCTGTCTTTCACTGGGCAGTTGTGCCAGTGTAACAGCACAGTGAACATTAGACATAAGGAAACCAGGTTTGGGAAGTTAAAAAACTTAATGTGGATATTTTTTTCCCTGTTAAACTCTAGGATTCACAGATACTTAAGGTATTTTTACATAAAGAATTGAACTCTTCCTCCTTCAAAAACCGGAACCACTCATAAAAAACAAAAGTCAAAATCAAAGAAGCCCTCACCCTCACCATACCCTCACATATTCAGTAGTTAACAGCATTTCTTTTATCCTGAGGCCTCATTCCATTACCCCAACCCTATTAAACAGGGAAGTTTGCGCTTTGAGTTTTATCTCCCTTTTTGGTGCTCACCTCACAGTAGACTAATGGAGCAACTGGACTCAGTGGTTCTTGTGCTTGTCAGGAAGTCCCTGGTCTTTCATTAGAAGGAAAAAACATATTTATTGTTCTTTTCTGATCTAAAGTTGTGCACTCTATATAAGCTTGACACAATACCAAGAATAGTGAACCATAATTTTAGAAAGTTTCTAAGACCTGAAACTCTATGGGGACATGACCCATATCTTGAGGGAAATATTTTGCACCTCTTAATATACTATGTAGTCTTTCTGTACTTGAAGTTATGGACATTGCTATTGTGTCTTGCTTTGATGAGGGATAAAAAAATGAACAGTAGCTTAAGAGGGGCCAGAATGGTATAGATCTTTAGAAATAGCAATGATCTTGGGATCAGAGACCCTTCTAAGCCTAGTTCTTCCATTTTCTAACTTATGATCCTGGGTCAAGAAACAAAACCTTTTGGAACTTCATGTTCTTTGTCTATAAAATCCTTGGCCTGCCTATTTCACAGGATTATTATGTGAGTCAGATTAGAGTACTGTGTGTATAACAAACACTTTGACATTCATAAAATTGGATGGAGATATAAGATATTATGTTACTGAAAACCCAGATTTCCAAATATATTACTTAGGAAAATGGAACAAAATCTTTCTTAAAAACAAGTACTCTGCTCATTTTATTTCAAGGCTTTAAAATAAAACTTTCATTGGCTTTGACTTGTCCTAGTCTAGAATTCAGTAATCATAGGATTAGATGTAAGCTAGTTAAGTTACAGAATGAGGTGTTTATGATCCCTAAAACAGAAATTGTTTTAAGATTACTAAGAAAGCGTACAGATAATAGGAACTTGTATGAGTCCCTGTTTAACTTCTGCCCTGTTGTAGACTTTTAAGAGCTGTAGCACTCCTGGTACCATATCATTTGCTCAGGTTCTGATCCATCCTGTGGTCTTCTGGTTTATGATTTTTCATATAGTCACAGTACATTAAAAAATGTAATCATCAAAGAGCTTTAGAGCTTATTATTTAAATAAACCTCTCTCTCCTACTCTCACCTCACAGAATTCTGGAGGTTATATACCCCTTAGGAGGTTTTAGAAGTTTACCTTGGAAACTTGGAGGTGTAGGTCAGTTTACTAGCAATCCCTGGGAAACCCCTTTCAGCAGAAGATCTCAGATTGCCTTTCTTTGTCCTTCAAGAGAATAGAACTGCTATGTGGTCTCCAGTTCCTGAAGATTTTATTTGGAATAAGTATTCATTTCAGTGCTCTGAAAAAAAAAAAAAAAAATAGGGCTTTGTCCTTGGTAGTTTGAAGAGGGAGTATTATGCAGTGAGCACTAAAAATGTCCCAGGTAGTCTCTGCAAGTCATTTATAAAAACTTTTAGGATAAATGGGTTATATACCTGTCACAACTCTTTAAAATGTTCATTTCGAACCACAGAGAGTTCTCTGTGAATTCTTTGGAGAATCTCAGTCATTAGACCACACATGATGGAAGTGTTTTGAAAGCTGTAGAATGGCACACAGATTAACCATGGCACGGTTACTCCCTTTCTCATTGTTACCACCAGAGAAACGCTTTTCTCGGTTTCATGTTGAGAACAGTGAAGTTTTGAACATCAGACTTGGTGACCTGATGCTCCTTTACTTGATTTCTAAGCTTTTATTATTTGGGTATATGGAATGGGCACCATTGGTTGGCTTTTTGTTCTCAAACATTCATTGAATAAATATTTACTTAACACCTCTGTGTACCAGGTTCTCCTCGGTCCATGACATAGGAGATCAATCAGCAAAGACCACATGACCCCGACCTTCAGGATATCCCAAGTCTAGAGAGGGACACAAACGTTTAACAGAGAGCAGTGCAGACATTACTTAATAACCTATGGCGTTTGCTGCAAGGGGAAAGCATGGTGCTCAAGAGAATTAATCATTGAGGGGAGTCTGGCTGGAGTGGCTCAGGTGGTTGAGCATCACTCTATGCACTAAGATTGCTGGTCAGGGCACATACCTGAAGTTGCGGATTTGATCCCCAGTCAGGGCACATACAGAAGGCAACTAATCAATGTTTCCCTCCTCTCTCTTTCCCTTCCTCTCTTTAAGCATGTCTTTGGGTGAGGAATGAATAGATAGATAGATAGATAGATAGATAGATAGATAGATAGATAGATAGATATTAGAAAAAATGACTCAGAAGGCATAATATTTTCGAGGGTTTGGGAGACTCCTTCCTGAGGAATTGACATTTAATCTAACATGCAAGTCCAGTGAGCCTCAGCCTGGGGATTGTGGCATACAACTTCTCTGTCTAGGTGACTTTTGCATGAAATGGAAGATCTCTTTTCTGGTTGTCTCAATGTCAGAGTTTCAGACTGCCTTGATCAATCGAAAGATTTAATCTGAGAAAATTAGACCAAAGCAAGCCTACTTTTATATATAGAAAGTTTAAAGTATAGAGAGTAGTCGAATAACCTACCTGGGCTTGGTCAGTGATTCAGCCATTCACAGATTTGGGTGCCTACTATGTACCAAGAACTGTGCTCAGTCTTGCAAGTCATGGCAATAGTTGGTTTAAGAGTCTTGTCATTACTGACACTCTGCTTCTCAAACTACCTTACTAATCAAATGGGTTTATCCCTCATGAAATGAGACTTTTTATCTTGTATTGAATAAACAGTGGTAGTACTGTGTGTTTCTGATTCTGTGTTAATGTGATTGGGTGAGACTAAACCTGTAGTCCCATCCTGTGGGCTTCAGATTCCGGAGGGTAGAAACCAGTTTAATTCAAGGAATCCCCAAGTCCATTTTCAGGTATGTGTTTTTTTCAAATAAGAGATGGTAAAGCGACCGTCCACTTGCAACATTTTTATAACCTCAGCTCTTACAGTGAAAAAGGATGGTCCTGGCCAGGTGGCTCAGTTGGTTGGAGCATTGTTCCATACACTAAAAGGTTGCAGGTTCAATTCTCAGTCAGGGGACATACCTAGGTTGCGGGTTCGATCCCTGGTCAAGTTTCATACAGGAGGCAACCAATCTGTGTGTCTCTCCTTCTCTTCCTCTCACTCTAAAAAAAATCAATAGGTATATCCTTGTGTGAGGATAGAAAAAAAAAAGGATGGGTGCTATGAAGCTCAATGATGAATGACTTAACAGGTTCAAGTTAGTTTCATGTTAGTTTCACATATCATTAGTAGTCAGTGATAAGATACACGTTTTCTCTGCTTTCTGATGAGCAGTCTAGTCCTAGAATTTAGCAAAAAAGTAAAGCTTGACATTCACATACTTTGAC